ACAGCCTTGAGAAGCTAACTTTTTAAAATTACGTAGAGGAGCTTTGCCACCCATTGGAACCAAGCACCTTCTATCAAAATGTTCTCTTGCTTGGCTCCCTGCTTAAACAACATGAAATGTTAGCCTGGCTCTTGTATACAGAGATACTGTCGATAAATTAAACATTGGGCCTCTGGCCAAAGCTTCTAATTTGAAAAAGGATCAAGTATCTTTAAAATGACATTGTTTGTATTTTCGTAAAATGAGCCTTATAGTTCAAATTGTCGGCTATAGTTGCCCACAATTCTTTGCATGACAGAAAAATAGGCACAGCCTACCTTACATAGTTGAACAAATATATTGCATGACATGCACTCTGTGTGACACATGCAAATGTCCTCATTTTCACTTGTTATAAGTTCAGTAACAGAGAACTTTATTCATTAGTTATATTTGCATAACTATTGTTTTGTAGTTCTGTTCCAGAAGGCTGTAATCCCAATTTGATGAGTATTATTTATTTTTGAATGTAAAATGCTGTCTGTGAGACTGAAGGCTGTCTGGACTCAGCACAGCAGTACTAAGCTCCTTTCCTACCCTGGGTAGAGTTCTTACTGTTGACCCCACAAAAGATAAACAGACAAACTAGAACGGGAGGTAAGAGCTAAAATTTAACAAGTTCAGATCCAGCCAATGTCTTCATAGTGTCACGTAATGGCACTATGAACAAACTTTGACTCTATGAACAACCTTTTTTTCTTTAAGGGTTTAAGCAGGTATAATCTGTTTTGCTGCATTTCAACTGTTTATGTACTGTACTGCTGACTGTGATTTAAAAAAAATACTGTTCCAATGTCAGCGTCAAAAATAACAACTACAGCGCTTGTTCAGGCTCGCACACTATCAGGGGAGTTCTGCTGAATATCCTTTGGTGCTTTTCTAAGACTGCTCCTGTGGAAATGAATACTTCCTCTTTAATATAGAAAATAAAAAATAATAATTTATTCTGTTATAGAGAATATGTATTGTCTATGCAATGCAGAAGTAGGTTCTTGATTTTTGATTACATTTTGTTTAAGCTTTGGCACAAAATTTGGATTAAAACTGAAATAAATATTTAATTCAATTCAAATTGAGGACATTTCCATGTCTTTGCTCACAAGAGCCCTGCCAAAATGCATGTCACGAAGTGTCAGAGCCCTTCATTTTCAGCTGCTTATCTGTGTTCCTTGCTTAACATGTAACCTCACCAACACCGTAAAGGCTTGTTACTAAAACCATTGTCTGACCAGTTCTCAGCACACGTCTGAGCATGCTCACTCACTCTGTTGCAAGGCTTCATCTGTCATGAGGCCAAGACAGGACAGAGGACCATGTTAAATGAAGCATCACTAATTCTATTAACATGAGGACACAAACAATCTGTGGGGAATCAAAGACAGAGAAAACAAAATCCCAAAGGACATTCTTCCTGCTGCTTGGGCTGGAGTGGTTCACGATGATGAGGCAAAACGTTACATTTCTTTAGATGAACCAAAATACACAGTCTCATCAGTGCAGTTGGATTCGTATCATAGGGATGTCACTGAGTAGCAATATCAAACTTATTTTCATCCACTTCCTTCTTTCTTTCTTTTATCTTTCTTTCTTTCTTCATCTTTTTGTGGGGCAAAGCACAGGGCTCGCTAGCTGAGCGACCCTTATGGGACAAAGCTGGCTTTCTGGGCTTTTTGCATATATGCATGCCAAGCAGACAATGAGGCCTTTATTAGAGTGGCCAGCATCCCAGGGATGAGGTCCTAGAAAGCAATGATTGACAGTGGGAACAGTGGGAAGTGTGCATGTTTGATTTCCATATCTATTTTCTCATATATGTACAAAAAAGTGTGTCACAAAGGTGTGAGGTGGAAGCTCTTACTCCTCTACTCATTTAGGGAAGTAATAAATATCTTTCCAGCGGTTTTCCATATGTGTCCTGCAAGAAATTCGTGAAAAACATTTGAGCCAAAACTTCCTGCCATAAGCTATCTGCATACATAGCAGAGAAAGCAACATGCCAGGTTCTTTTGATGCAATCAAAAAGAGATTCTGTGCAAGTACTCATGTGGTGTACATCTACGAATTTGACTAACCTTTGCAATACATAGGTCATGCTTCTAGTCTTAGTGTGTCAGTCTATGTCTAGAGTGTGTGTGTCTGTGTGATTGTGATGCGCAATGTTGTAGAGCAGAGAGAGAGTGGGAGAGAGGGCGCACTCTTCACGCAGTGATGCGTGAAGAGGATTTTCTGTTCAATAGGAGCTGAAAACTTGCATACTTGCATCCTAATGAATCTGTTTGCATGATCATAAAAACAAGGAGACATTCAAATTTAAATTTACAGACATTTAAATTTGCTTTTAATTTAGCACAAAGATCAATTGAGAGTCTTGTTTTGGTCCTGATGGTAGCCAAAAAGTGGATGTGGAGGAGTAGTTAGCCTCTGACCTGTGATGATGCCTTGGACAATTAATCAAATAATCCCCTGAGCCTTTCAACTTTATGAGATCTCATAACCACAGATATGGCTATTTGAAGAAAAATAAAAAAATTCTATGTGGTTTCAAACATTAAGAAAGTGAAGCATGTTTAGATACACTGACATTAAATACTGCAAGGTTAAATCATTTCAAGTGGTCACCTAGTTAGGCTATTACTCGCAACATAAAAGCTGCAGAGGTTCATAGCTCAGATGGTCAAATCTGTTGTCAAAAAATAATTTGTCATAAAGTTAAAAAATCTGGCTCTTTAAGAGGATGGCAGAAGGAAAGGTATTATTAAATGACACTGACAAGAAATCCTGTTTTTAGTTTAACACACAACAGGTAGACTGCATGAAAGATGTGTAGAAGAAGGTGATCTAGTTAGATGAAATAAATATAAACTCATTTTGCTATTTGCATAAAACTACAGCGGAAAATGAACATTGAAAATCGACCTGAATCATGCCAACAAAATATGGTAGTGGAAGCATCATTCATTAGGGACACTTTTCTTGAGTAGGAACAGTAATCAGGGAAGAAAAAAAAGGAAAGAACACATCCTAAGGGGGGAAGAAAACTACTTGTTAAAAGAGAAAACATGTAACTTATTTGTCTTTTAATTAGCAAAAATCAAGTGTTGCTTTTATAAATACATGTTCTTCCAAAGTCTAATAACATCCCAATTTAATATTTGTTCATGTGTTTCATCATTTAACTCATTAGCCAAGGGTAATGACGTTGATGTTTTCCCTTTTTTTTTTTTAGCTCATTGTGAGCTTGTAACCCATGACATGACTCCATATTTGGGAGGCTGACATGCAATTATTGTGTACTGCAAGTACTAGGTACTAGTTCTGGTTAACAATCCGGTAACTATAACTGCAGCTAGAGGCTAACAGGCTTAATCGCAGACTCCAATGTAAACAGTAATGACTTCTGTCCGATCAGAACCTACTGAACAAGCTATATCCGTGAGAAGAGAGGGAGGTGTGGCCATTTTTAGTGGTAACCGCTGATGTAGCTCAGAACACAGTACGGTTACAAAAAGATTTTACTCAAAGTACAATGAGCTTCTACCTGTGTTGTGCGGCTGCACATCGCACCAAATGGAGGACATATTTGTAAATTATTGCCATCAATAACAACAACACTCTGTACCTCATGTCACTATGGGACACTTAAACTTGTGCAGGAGGTCGACATCCTCACATTTATGACACTCCAAGGCTTCAGTTGTAGGCATCACAATGAGACCACTAGATGGTGTGCAGTGTAAAAAATCTTACAATCTTCTCTAAGGAATCCAAAAGACATAAAGTGTATTTGGTCTAAAAGGTTTATATGAAAACTGTTTCATACTCAGACTGGCCCAGTGAAAGCTCTGACCTAAGTACGAAGTAAGAATCTGTACCAAGATTTAAAAATGTAATTGGTCTGACCCTTATCCTAACCATTACCTACACATACCTAACCCTAAACCTGACTTAAACTCAATTCATGACTTTGTCCTAAATCTAACAAAGGGGACCAGTCATTGCTTCCCACAGGTACGTATAAGTCCCAAAAATGTGGGCAATTTAAGGGAAATTGTCCCCACAGGATAACATAAATACATAGCCAAACAATATAAAAACATAAAATAAGACATTTTGGGCTCTTTAACTGAAACATTTTCTCTTATTTATGTGCTTAAATGTTGTTCAATACACCCTTGACTATAAGAGAGGGAGCTAAACATGAAATGTACTTTTTATTTCATTGTTTTTTTATTAATACAAAAAAAACTTTTAAAAACAATACATTGCCCCTTTCTTTAAAACGTATTTTATTTGGCTTGGAAATCTATGGATGTGATTGTATGTTTATTTTATTTTGATGTGTGGATATTCACCACCATTGAGGCACACAAAAACCTCTGCATTCTCGAAATGTGGCTGATCAAGTTGGAGCATGGACAGCATGCTTAGTGCGGTTCTCTCACTTATTTTCCTACTGACCTCAAAGAGTGTATAATGTGTTAAAACATTAATGGAGCTTGCTGCAAGCAAAAGGAAAAAAAAAATACGAATTTGAATTCCTGTTCTGCAAGATGTGCTTTGAGTCAGGTTGCAAGGACGCAGAGATGCAGTTGGTTTCTGCGCCTCACACACGCGTGTAAGATATTCACCTGCGGGAGCATCTGTCTCCATCCCCCGCTCCCCCTCTTTTCTTTCGCACTACATAACTCTTCGACCTTACTCACTAAGGTTTCAGTTGTTGTTCTGAGGAGTAAACATGTGCTATGGGAGGTGAATGGCTAAGTTATCTTTTTATCCAATAAAATGTCTCCTCATCCGATCGATTGTTGTTGCTAGGAGACTGAAGCATCCTTTGGCAAGGGTCTACATCTCTCCACGTCTGTTGTTTCCCTCCCATCTCTCTCACTTGCTCCCTATCTCTCTCTCTCTCGCCCTCTCACTCACTTTCTCTATGTCCCTTGTGCATGCGCACACGCGCACGTCCATGGAGCTGGCGCGCTTAGCAGTGGCGCCCATCCTATCCCTCAGTGCGACTCCTCCGAGGGATCAGGAGTAGACTAAGTCAAACTTCCAACGGCTTAAATTTTGTGCGCAACCTTTAAAAGGGATTCAAGTCTCTGAGGTAGGTCAAATTATTTTACACACTTCTCGCGAGCGGGTTGGGGAGCAATCTAAGATTACAGTTTTGGGGCGACAGAGTGCAGAGGAAAACATTGACAGTCCAAAAGCGTTCAAGTGCGCGTCAGTCAGCAGTTTGGTGGGGAGGAATTGCTTTGAACTTTGCGCAGGATCTGAACACCCAGTTGTACTGCATGCACGTACTTCTTATGCTTTCCCTTTAATCAGATAAAGATAGAGATCTGGGGGTGTGATAGAAGGGTGGGGAAAAAACCCTCGAAGCTTATCCGCAGGAGATGAACGATAAAGAAAAAAAATGGTGCAGAACAAAGAATATCTGCAGTTGCGTATTTTAGTTCCACCTAGAAGTTTATTTGGGTTCAGAGAGACCTTTGAGGCAAGTCCCTCGGCTTTCGGCGTCCCATAGGGAAACAGGGGTGTGGGGGGGTACAGGTGGATCAGAGGAGTGGATCTGCTGTTTATAAGCAAGCAGTTAGTTCCACACCTTATGCTGGAGGACAGGAGCTTGGCCCCCAGCTGGAAAATTAAGCTGTTCAGATGGGATTTTACTGTCTTTTGACCCCACAATTTAATGTCCTTCATGCACTAACAATTTCATAATTTTGATTTGCTAAATTATTAATTTTGTAACAAAACAAACACAAAAATAACTTAGAAGACATGTGTAGTGCAAAGTGGTTCTTCCTACTTTATTCCTAATCTAATAGTGTAACTATAAATGAAAAATAAATTTTGTCTGCAATGAATGTTATGTACAATTAGACTAATGATTGCCCAAAGAATGCAACTGTTTTGATGATCCCATTTGTTTGCGTTGCATAATTATCTTGATATTACCTTGTTCCGCTCCTTAAGACGTTGTTTCATTTAATTTTGCAATAAGACTTGCGGTGATCAGGGGAATTGGCACACGTGTTACAGCAAAATTAAGCTTGTCTTTTTTCTCCTTCTCTACCATGCATGACAATTCTAGAGCAAAGAGTGGAAAAAACCAAAACATTTATAGGTGGCATAGGACGTATACATTAGTGAAGATCATTAGAGTGTTTTGTTACATCATAAATGATCATTTTCTTTCTTTTTTTTTTTTGTTAAGGGGAGGTTAAGAAAGTGCATGTGTTACATGAACATTTATTTATCATGTTTTAATAAATTTAATCTTGACAAAAATATGAGATTAATGTGTCTCTAGATTTTTTGTGTTTTTTTTAAATATCTGTCGATGTTTGCTTGAAGATGTTAAATTATTGTGCTCTCCTTGTTGTGTAAGTTCTTAAATAATACATAAGTATTCTTTGTTTTTGTATCTGTATAGGCTATGTTTTAACGCTTGCACTGGATGGTCAAGCACAGTGCAGAGGGACGTTAGAACTTTGTGGACTTGTCAAAACCTGATATCTTGTAGGGCTCATTGATACATATTTTAGTGTGTATGTGTGTGAGGAGGGGGTGGAGTAGCTTGTGTCTATTTGACAGTATGTATCTGTCCATATGTCAATATGCTAAAACAAAAATCTGCTAAATTGATCTTGATTTGGGCTTCAGCATTTTCTACCTATGGGTAAATGGCTTTGTGATTGTTCATCTCTGCGCATCTGTGAACAAGTAAGCCTGAACGGCCTTGAATCATTAAATGGCATACAGTACAGTGTGGCCCCCAGCCATGTTTTTGTTATACTGTCGCTTTTACATCAAAAGCTACTTTCACCAATATATGTTCAAACAATATTATTAGGAAAAGTTAGATGCCTTTACGTAAAAGCCGTTCTTCAACCATAACTGGAAATAAAGTATATTAGCAATGTCTCTTATCTATTAAGTAGAATTTAATTACCATCTAGTTTTAATTGCTCCTTTAAAATTACCTGATCTCTCTGCTTACATAAGGGCATTTCTTAAATTGTCTTCACACATGTTAAAAACAACAGACTTCCATCTGAAGTCACTGTAAATAAGATCGGATGAGCATTGCTGTGAATTTATTAATTTTATTTTGTTAGTCACAAATTATTATTATTATTTTCATTTATTTATTCTGGCAGCCCAAATTGATACATATATACTCTTACTTTAAAAACAGAAGAAAAAAAAAAATCAGCTGCCGGTAAATTAAACTGAAAATGACAAAAGTAATAGTAGATAAAAATTATGAAAAAAATTGAAACAATAACAATGATTTGAATATGTACATATACAGTAATATGTATATATTCATAAATAAAACAAGTAAACAGCCTGATTGAGCTCCTGAACTAAAATTGTATTGAGCAATACTTTGAGGCAATCACTGAAATCAGGTGTTTTCTTTAATGTTCAGGAAATTTTAATTAAGAAAAGACAACACACCTGAAAGTACAAATATTCATTCTGCAGCTGTGCTATCACATGTATTGTTAGGAATAATCCAAGTTAAAAGTTTACTGCCAATGAGAAGAGCTGAAGCTCTACAGGTGTAACAGTTAAGGATTTTTATGCCTCTGTCCATGGTACTGAATTCATAAAAGTTGATTTGCTCAAATATATGCAAATCCATACACTGTCTATAAATGTTGGTTGACAATTATACTCTTTTAATGTATTTTTGTTTGTATTTCTTGTTTTATTCCATCTAAGACTGAAGCATGAAATCTCACATCAGCTTAGCCAGAAGGAGTCAAAGACAGTAAAAAGACAGGTAGGTGATTATGCTTCCCTTTGTTTATACAAATGTGAACCTACAATAAATTACCAAGGATTTTATGTTTTCTTAAGAACTCCAAATATATTTGTTAAAGCCTTTAAAGTTAACATTTGAGGTGTAGATTTTAATACAAATGTGTCTTTTGTAGTTCTGTTACTGACATCACTGTGGCTCTTGGTTTTCCAAGTTTTATTAAAACTGTTGCTGCACTCTACATGTTCCTTACACTGTTCTGCTCCAATGAGGAAACAAGAAGGTGTCTGGAAATGACTGCTGTTTCACGCAGCTAGCCTCTCATCATCCACTACAGTCACAACATACACTGAGCTGCACAAGCAAACCCACACAAAACATTCACACATTCTTGCCTGCACACACACACAAACACAGGATACACATCACAATGTCTGTTTGCTGACACCCTCCCGTTCCCTATGAGTAGAGACACTCACACATGCATACGTCCGCTCAGGGGATGAGGCAGGGAAAGGGCAGTGAGATGTACAGCTGTGATGGTGTGCATCTACGACAGATCAGCCTCTTTAATAAATGATGATCTTCAGGAGAAAAAAAAGTGTGAGTGTGTGTAAGAGCTTGTGTGATGGTGAGATGGATTGTGAAAGGTACTTTTGGGGTCATTGTATGTTCTTTATCAACATTCTAATTTCCACTTAATAATGTTAATAATTGTGAGGCAAGGATCCTACACTTGGCCACAGTTTGGAATTTTAAGATATAACCAGTACCTATAATTTACCTTTATGGATTGTATTCCTTTTGCCGTTTCATGATAGTTTGTAGCTGCTAAGAGTTTATATTAACTTAAAATGCAGTGACACATTCCATCTTTCATTGATTCACTCATTGACTAAGTTGGTTTATCTATGTCATAGCTGATGTAATGAACTTTAACACGTTGTTACAGCCCCCCCCCTGTTTTTTTCATTTTGTTGGAAAGGGAAACAAACTACTAAGGCACACAACACAAGTTGAATGTAGTTTGATTTTATTTATTCATATATGGCACTAATTCACAACACATCTCCTCAAAGCACTTTAAGGAGACAACTCAACAAATCAAAAATCAAACCGACTGATTGCTTAAACATTCTCTAAGAAAACAAAACTGATTGAATCAAGTAAATGAATTTATTTATATCCAATGTTTATAATCAACAAGGAATGGTAGACTTCATTTTCAGTTGTTCTGAATCTTATTTCACCCATTCAACTTTTCCACCATACAGCTTTTCCCTCCACAAACAGCCTCTCGGTAGATCACAGACAGCAATTGCCCTTTTGGTCTCCCTCCCCTGTTACAGCTGCTAGTGACCTGAATATTCACTACTAATGAACAAGTGGACCACATCTCCATCAGACCACTCAGCTTTTTCTTGCTCACTGCTGTGTGAGCATCTGCTGCCGACTCAAGAACAGCAAGTGTGCTGAGAATGTCCCTGGGAACTAATCAATGGGGTTTACGGCATTTAGTAAAATGTTTAACACTAACTCTAACTTTTATAGGGGATGTAAATATAGTTTTATAAGCAATATGAAATTATGCTTATAACATTTATGACCCCTTTATTTTTTTTTATAAATAGAAAACAATTATAGTGCAATTTTACACACAAGTATGCTTTTGCAGTGCTCAAACCTTCAAATTAGGTATTCAGCATAAACTATGATTAATAATAAATTTCATTTATTGAAAGAAAAGTTACACCCTTTCTGTCCCTATGTGAAAAAGTATTTCTACCAAGATTGCACAATATTGCAAATATATTGTCATCACATTATTAGTATGAGAAATATTCATATAACAACTGTTTGGAGTGTTGACTAATTTATTCAAAGCATTGTGAACATGCTTTTAAATGCTAATGTCATATTTAGCAATTCCAACATTGTCTCACAGAGACAGATGCTCACACAGACAAACTTAAATTGTCCAAAATGCTAAAGTTGTGTTGGAAACACTATTGACAAAGAAAGGATAGAAGAAAATAGAAATGTGTCACACCTGATATCATTAATGCATATTTTCTAATATCGTTCAGCTCTAATTTCTAATCTTATTAAATCATTAGTTAACTGTGAAAAACCAATATTTCTTTGAAACTTCAGCTCAGTTTCACTAGCCTCACACAGTTTAAAATACTTCCAAACTCGAATATCAAGAAAAGACTTGAACAGAACCAGTACTGCAGCATGAAGTAAACTAAAACCTAAGACGTCATGGCCCAGTCTACAGAAATGAACCGATTAGAAATAAAGTCACTGAAAAGGTTTTTTGAAAGCGAAAGCTAACACTTGAATATCAGTGAACCACTTAGAGAGCCGCTATTCACAAAGGCAGAGAACATGAAACATTGGAGAAACTTCCCTGGAGTTGCAAAAGACTCCAAAAGTGCAAATTTGACTCAGGAGGTGAAAAAATTAACCAAAACAAAATCTAAAGCCTTCTTTGCTTCTTGTTCATTGTGTTGGATGTCTTGATAGAACTCACAAAACACGACTGTACCTAAAAAAAAACTTTAGTAGGAGAAGATTTTACTAGAAAGAATAGAATAACTAACTCTGATAGTTTGTGAGCAGGAGTTTCCAATGCTATTTTTTGTCTGCTTTTTAACCAATAAAAAAGTCTGTATTTAATTTTATGAAGTGGATACTTATTATCAAATAATATTCTAAGTTGTAAGAGAAGCCATATGGATGTTTTCCTGTCTCAGGATTTTATCTAAAGTAAATGAAAACCGGCTGTTGCACTCTTTCAGCTTGAAGGTGATTGGTCACAATGTTACTATCAAGAGTCAATATGATGTTGTTTTGGTTTCTTGAGATATTCCCTGCCCTATGCTCTGTTCTCTGTAGGTGGTGTTCCCAACACCACCTTATTTTTTTTTCATTTACAACCCCTACCAAAAAAAGGTTAATTCAGTAATTTAAAGCTTTTTCATAGAAAATAAATACTAAAATTTGGAGAATTCAGAGGGTCCAGCTCTTTGTTAGATATGCATTTGTATTTCATTACAACTAATTGAAATAAGTTGTACAATATTGTGTTGATCAATAAAAAAATGGCATTAAGGGGGTGTGTTGCAGGTGATCCACAAAATTCCATGTAAAAGGATTAAAAATGCAAACTGGTTTGGTCTGCATTATTTTAATAAGGAAATTACATGTGCTGGTAGTTCAAGAGTGGCTGTAGAAGAAAGATAACATTTTTAAGCCATTAAGTTGGTCATACTAATGATCATAAATGTAGCAAAAAAATAACATAGATATATTGTATTTATATTGCTTTGAAACAAAATGTCACTGTAAATTAATATTAATAACTCTTTTAGAGAAATTAAATGGTTTATATTCAAACTCCAAACTAAAGGCCATTGTCTTACAAATTAATAACAATATGAAAAAGAGAAATAGAAGAATAATTCAGAGAGCAAATCTGAAAACACATTATTCAAATTCAAATAATTTGTGAGCAATGACAGCAGTAATTGGTTTTTACACATCACTACCTAAACTGAATCACCCCAAAACAGCTACCATAATTTCTGTCTAAGACGCTTTTGTGTCCACACAAGCTGATTTTATATATATATATATGTGTGTGTGTGTGTGTGTGTGTGTGTGCGTATGTATTTTTGAATGACTGTCTCAGTTGTTTCACCGTTCTCTGTTTTACGTTCCTTTACAAGTGTTCGTCCCAGTATATCAGCTTAGAGATGACAGACCAGCATGTGTGTGAACATGAAATACATAGCATGCATTGAGACCTGTATAATGGCAAGGCTGAGTGATGTGTCTTGATAACTCCCAGGGTCATTACACGATAGTTAAGTTGATGAATTCCATCCACAGAGGGGTAATTCTCCATCTGACAGGCTTGCCGTCTTTTATGATGATGAAATGTGGACCTGATAAACGCCTCCACACATTTCACCACTACTGGTCTGTTTTTAGGCTCAACAGATATTTCTATCCAAGTCGTGTCAAATGGGTTGTGGATCATCAAAAACCTAGGGAATACACAGTGTGAGGAAAATGAAGACAGAAATTGTTCCTATTTAGAGATTGTGGCAAACTGTCATCAACACTGCTCCTCATGCCACTGTGGTTACACTGTAGTTCTTCCTATGGGGGGTAAGGGTGCAAATTGATCCATTTAAGATTAAGAAGTTTCCAGAGGTTTTTTGTTTTTTTTTTAACAACAGACAAATGAAAATGCACTCTATCTGCATGAAAAGATGTTATGATTAGCATGTTGCCATTGAATTTTGGTTCAGTATTGCTGTACTCTAAGAACAACTGCTTGGGAGTGAAGCCCGTGGTTTGTTTCCTTATATCATCTCTTGTAATTTCAGATCACTTGCATTATCAGTCGTTATACTGTCTGTTCCCAAATGTTTTGTTTACACTTAGCTGCTTGCTTTTTGTGTTTTGCTGACCAGCTAAGTGCTCAACTTGAGTATTTCACAAGTAGATGTTACACTGTTCCAATTTTCCACATAAAATGTTTTTGCAAAGCAGATGTCCCACTATTGAGGCCCATTTAGATAATTTTCTAATATTCTAGAACTGTGCATTAAAAAAAAACTGATATTACATTTATGTATGCTTGTTACTAAGTATAAACAGGACAAGTAAATTGTTTTAAAATAACTGCAATTTTGTGTCAAATTATTGTTCTATTTTATATACTATGAAAACTATCTGAGCCATCCACACAGCCATAACAACAGCATTTAAGATCAGGGGCCTTCAACCTGTTTGATTCAGGGAGCCCCTTTTGCCTGTGCTGCTACCAAATAAATAGATTTATACATAAGTATTCAAAGGCTAGCAAAATGAAACTAAAATCTAGAAGAATGATAATTTGACCACACCAGATTTTGTAAAATGAGGCAAGCTGAGTGATCCATCACAAACATACTGTAAAGGATACAGAATAATAGCTAAGTCACCAAAAAAGCATTAAGCTACAG